AAAAAAAAAAAAAAAAAAAAAAAAAAAAAAAAACACTGCCTTTCCAGCAATCATAATTTCTTCCATGAGTGTGGATATTGGAAGCTGGCTGGATATTGGCTTGGAAACATCTCTTATGAACCTTTTAAGCAATGTCATTCTGTTGAGTTTTGAAATCATAATTTTATAAAATTGTCATGCATTTAAGACCAAAAGCTCCGGTGTTCTTAAGTTTAATGAAAGTCAGCCACTTTAAAGAGTTATAAATCACAAAATACTCCCTGAATAATATCTTGTACTATTGCATATGATAATCCAATGTAATATTTTTAATTGCTTATAAAATACAATACTAAAAATATAGAATTATAGATTCAAAACCAGATGGGACCTAGAATTTTCCCCTTGTTATTAGGATGATTGTTTTCACAAAGACTCAAAGGCATTTTTATTGGCATCCATCTTCCCCATTAATGACCTTGTTTGTCTACTTACCTTTTTTTTTTTTAAAAAAAAAAGTTTATTTGTTTATTTTTGAGAGAGAGACAGAGACAGAGAGAGAGAGCATGAGCCAGGTAGGGGCAGAGGGAGAGGGAGAGAGAATCCTAAGCAGGCTCCTTCTGTCAGCACAGAGCCCAACATGGGGGCTGAACTCATGACCATGAGACTGAGACCTGAGCTGATATCAAGAATCGGATGCTCAACCAATTGAGCCACCTAGGCGCCCCTGTCTACTTACCTTTTACTACTTTTACTGCCCAGCGAGCTTGCAGGTCAACTGTGGGAATGGCAGCCCCAAGGGACTGGACCAAACCAATTATTCCCAGGGTTGGCTTCTCCAGTGAAGGAGGGAAAATGTCTTTAAACAAGGTGATCTCATTGTTTCTGCTCTTAATGATAGACTCATCAAAGAAGGGGTAGGCATAACCATAGCCTGTTGCAAAAATGACACAGTCGATGGCTTCAAACACTGTCCCATCCTCAAAAATGGCCGAAGTCTCTGTGAATTCTTTGACATTAGGCTTAATGGACACTGTGCCACACAGAATGCAGGCTGGGAGCTCATCGTTAAACACAGGTTCTTTCCTCAGGGTTCTGTATGGAAAATAGAGACAGCCACTAGAACGGTAATATTTCCTCTTTGTTTTATTGGTCCATAATAATTAATTAATAATCAATTAAGAAGAAAGGAGAAAACTACCCAAGATTTTTTTCTTGTGCCATGGAGTGTTACCAATATGACTGGAGAACAAAACTGAAGTAAGGCAATGTTGTGAATTAAGAAAAGTTGCCTTTGCCACTCCTTTCTCTATTTCCTGTGATCTTTTCTCTCCCACAGAGCTCCAGATCTCAGAATTAATCACCTGGGCCCTATCCCCTGTGAAAGCTTTGTCAGGCAAGATCCTAAATCAGAGTCCAGGGGTATTTGGATTTTTTTCTTCACTTCTTATTAACTGTGAACCTTGATCAAATGAAAGTTTCTTAATTTATCTTGCTTCATCTTTCTCATCTGGAGCAGCAGTAACTGTTATGCCCACCTCGGGTCATTGGGAGATGGAAATAAGACAAAGATCCTGGCCGGGTTTCTAATAGAGGGTGAGGTATGAGCCTCCTGCTCTTGTCAAGGCCACCAAGATCCTCAAACTGCCAGATCCAATGATCCATTGTCACTTGTCATCTTACTCAACTTATCAGCGGCGTTGGAAGCAGTTGATGGTTTCCTCCTTGAAACACTGCCTTCATTTTGCTTCCAGGTCCTCACTCTCTCAATTCCCTTCCTATCCACCTGCTATTCTTTATTACTGTCTCCCACTGAACTCTCCTCTTCCTGGCCTCTCTCTGAACAATGACATGCCCCAGGACTCAGCCTTCAGACCTTTTGTCTTCTTCATCTACATTCACCTTTCAAGAGATGTCATCTGGCTTCATTTCTTAAAGTACTATCTATACTCTGGTGAACATTTTTAACTTATGGTTTGAGTCTTTCTTGTCTTGTGTATCGCAAGCCTGCTCAACATTCTTCTACAATGATGACTCACAATGACTCATAGGCCTTTCAATTTTGAGATGTTTCAAACTAAACTTTGCTTCTCCCACGGTCTTCCACATCCCATAAAAACTGTCAACTCCACCCTCGCATCCTTGCTCAGTTCAAGAGTTTGGAATACATCTCCGAACTCTTTTCTTGTTCTCACATCTGTTAGCCAACCTAACAGAAAATCCTATTTGGGTTTACCTTTAAAGTATATCCCAAATCTGACCATTTCTAAGCACTTGCTGCTAACAAGCCTAGTCTAAGCCACCAGCCTCTGTCATCTGGGTTTTTGACAATAGCCTCTTAACTAGTCTTTTTGCTTCCTTCCTTGACCTACATCTATACACTGAATGATGACCGCAGGTCCAGAGTGATTTCTTCAAATTAACTTGGATCTTGTCAGATGCTTGTTATGGCTTTCCATTGCATTTAGAGTAGAAGCCAGTGTCCTTACAATGGCTTACAAGATGCAATGCCATCTGGCCATTTTGATGTCTTTTGGTTTTATCTCCTACTACTCTTACTCTCCCCATCCTCTTTTCCCCATGGAGAGAAGTCCATTGAACACGCCAGTTTGTTGAACATGGCAGTCATGGCCCTGAAGAGGCAATGCCCTAACTATTTCCTCTGGAATGCTTTCCCCCAGACACTCCCCTGGCTCAGTTCCTCAGTTCCTTCAGGGATTTACTTAAAAGTCCCCTCCTCAGTGAGGCCTCCTCTGGGAATGCTGGCAGCTCTCCCCATCACCTCTGCCTTCTTTGTTCTTTTCTTCATAGTACACATCAGCATATGGTCTTCTGCTATCTGTCTCCTGTCTGTTTCCCACTGCCAGAAGGTAAGCTCGTGAAGACAGGGATTTTGAATGTCTTTTCACAACTACAGTCATGGGGCTCAATATAGGACCTGACACACAATAAACGCTTAATAAATATTTGTTGAATAAGTTAACTTTGATGTAAACAGTTTATAATTTGGATTTTTCACTCCATGTCAAGGTAATTTCTTATGTGCCCGAGGGTTATATCCAGGGGGATATGATAGGGAAGAGTGAGGAGGAGGCTGAAGAGGCAGACATTGTGACCACATTGCAGTGGGAGGACTCTGTTAAGGGTGGGTGATGAGACTGCAGCACAGGGAAAGCCCTGCTTTGCTTAACTGAACTTTTCCATGAAGTGAGAGGCAGGAGAGCAAGGTGGCTGAGAGCGAGAAGCTCTGGAGTCAGCAGATCTGGGCTCATTTTGAATACTGCTTCTGCCTTCTGCCTATGGGACTTTGGCAAAGCTAGTAACTACATTGAACCTCAGTTTCTCATCTTTAAAATGGGCATTATAATAGAGATGTAGTAATTGTTGTGAGGATAAAATGAGATAATGCACGTGAGAGCCTTGCTGGGCTGCATTAAGAGCTTAAAACATGTCAAATATTATCGTTACTCTAGGGACTAATTCTCTAGGGACTCTAGGGACGTGTATAACTTTCCAGCTGTGCAAATATGGGAGGGAGGATTGTGAAATGGGAAATAACTCCAAATGTTTGCAGTTCTTCATCCTCTGAAATGTGAGACATGATTGCTTCACTAATATTATTTTGGTTGGTTTGGGAGTTACAACAACACACATTGTGAATTGTTGACACTGAAATGCAAGTAACAGGCATATCATATTTAACTCTGCTTTACCCATTTAAAGGCATCAAACCATAGTTCTCGTGCTTGAATTTTGCATTCATTTTCTTCTTGTACCACCAGTCAGAGATGGCTTTTGGCAAGTTGTTCTTGAGGAAGGTTTCAAATCGATTGACCAACACCATGTCCCATGGATAACCATCATCCCAGACCCGGCTTATCACCCAGGAGCCACTTCTGGAACTGATGATGACCTTAAAAAAAACAGCAATTTTTAACCATTAGAGCAGTGACTGTTTGTAGTGGGTATTGTGGTGTGTCCCTCGGGTCTGAGGGGAGTTGCGGAGTTGTCACAGCAGCTAGTGTGAGTGTTGTCTCATGGCTTTCGGCTGTCAGCCCTCTTTGAGAATTGCTTTGGTTGAAAAGAGGGCCTCACCCAAAGTCTTATGCCCTTTCTGTATTTCTTGCCTTCAGTGACTGTTTGATACCTGGTCTCTCATCCCAACTGGGGACAAGTCAGAAGTGTAGCTTTGGAGTAGTGTAAAGGGAAGCATCCTTCCTTTGGCTCTCTCATCTCCCAAGTAAATTTCCTGCATCTTATCTACATCTCAGGACCAACCACCCTGTCATCTCCTCTGATGGAGGTGCCCAATACCTAAATTCTCATCCCATTTCCTCTAGTGCTTAGCTGGTAACCATTGTCTACAACCAAGCAATTATGACCCCCGAATAGGCATTTCGACTTAAAATGCCTTTCCCCATCCTGAAAGAAGGCAAGAAAGACATCTGGCATCTGAAAACCATAGGCTCAAATCTTGGCTCTCCTACTTACTAATAACGTGATTTGTGGCAAATTCCTTTAACTTCTCTAATATTCAGTTTCCTTATTTGTAAGATGGAGATAATAGGTACCCGCCACATCAAATCTGTGGGAGAGCTGATGCAGTGTGCTAGCCATGCAGTACGACCACCATTGCCTGACATGGAGGATGTATTCTTTTCCTCCCCTTCTGTCATGATCGTCCCTAATGGTATAGATTTTCAGGCATTTTTACAGAATTTTTTTATCGGGGCACCTGGGTGGCTCCGTTGCTTAAGCATCCAATGCATAAAAAAATTTTTTTCAAATGTTTGTTTATTTTTGAGAGAGAGACAGAGACAGAGACAGAGACAGAGTGTGAGTGGGGGAGGGGCAGAGAGAGAGAATCCCAAGCAGGCTCCTCCCTGTCAGCGCAGAACCCGACAGGCGTCTTGATCTCATGAACCATGAGATTGTGACCTGAGCCGAAATTAAGAGTTGGCTGCTTAACTGACCGAGCCACCCAGGCGCCCTGCAAGAACTCCCTTTGCTACCTCGTCAACCATATGACTCATAAATATCCTTCAAGGACTGGTGCAGGTCTGCCCGCTTGGTGAGGCCTCCAGTTCCATGATCAGAGCAGTTAGTTCCTGAATCACCGGGGCAGCCTTTGTCCTGGTGGCCTCTTGTGCTGTTGTTACGTTGTTAGGCTTTCCACTTAACTCTTGAGGTTATGTTTAATTTATATCCCATCGAGGCATTATTTTCCCAAGCACATTTGAAGTTCTTGGAGGAGAGGGGACACAAAGTTGACTTCTCTGTGTCTCTATGCTGTCTAGTATAGTGCTTTGAGCAGGCAAATAGGAATATATTTTTATGCCATTTATCCTGTCATGACCTCCTTGCTTCACTCATGGCAATACCATCATTTAAAATAGACTTATGTTGAGGATGCTATCACATCAGTAGGCATAGCATCTAGAGAGAAGATTTCTGTCTGTGGGGGCGCCTGGGTGGCTCGGTGGTTGAGTGTCTGACCTTGGCTCAGGTCATGATCTCGCAGTCTGTGAGTTCGAGCCCCGCGTCAGGCTCTGTGCTGACAGCTCAGAGCCTGGAGCCTGCTTCGGATTCTGTCTCTCCCTCTTTCTCTGCCCCTCCCCCGCTCATGCTCTGTCTCTCCCTCTCTGTCAAAAATAAACATTTAAAAAAAAAGAAAAAGATTCCTGTCTGTGGGCTTCTA